TATAATCAGAACCCGGCATTAGGGGTAACGTGGGTAATATTGTTGGGGTTAAATACGGATAATGGAAAAGAAAATGGAACCTGCTACAATGGGGTTATATAAGGCTTATGTAACCTGAACCCTAAATACGAAACCGCAAATCCTGGTGCAGCATTCCTGAAACCACTACTTTTTTTTCTTTTGCGGCATGGCTGCGTGGCATTGCTGGGCCTTGAATGTGAGCTTGCTCCTGCTGCTGGCTTTAACTTGGCGCGAGTGGTCACGAATGGTATTGCAGATTAGCTCGGGTATCTCTGAACTTGGGCCTTCCGTTTGGCGTACGGCTTTCACGGCATATATCCCAAGCTTCCGTAAAACTCAGTAACGAGATAGCATGATCCCCGAACCCACATAGCCCTGAAACACCCAGATTGTCAAATCAGGCTGGGCAACCCATACAAGTGCACACAGCTTGTCTACAACTTGGCCCCTTGGCAGAGTCTCACGGTTGGAGGAGGGCTATTCTGATTTGAGAGCCCGCAAGGTTTGGGGTTCAGGGTCAACCCTAAACCCACATCCGCCATTTTGACCACTTGCCGTAGAAAGCCTAGATCGATAGACTTCGAGTTGTATGGCGGCCCGATGTGGGAGCGAGATGGGCACATAATAAAGACTTGCGTCTGCTTGTGTGCTTTCTGGTAGCTTTTCATTCTTCATCAGTGTAGGATCAGGGGTACTAGTTTGAATTCCAGGGATAATCTGAAACCAACTTGAGGCGCGGAGGGAAAAAGCCTTTGTGTTGGTCTGGCTGATTGATCACTTATCAGTCACTGTGATGGGAGTTTCCCCAAATTCGCCCCTACAAAGTACCCAAGCCCCAAACCGTGAAGCCTTAAACCCAGTGACACTCACCACAACCCTAAACCCCTAGGCTGTGCAAGGGCTGCAGTCAAGCTCTGGGTCTCAAGGGCATGGGGGTAAGAGGCTCAATGCCAGATATCACGTCTGAGATTTGATGCTAGGTTCTTGCGCCGTGCTGTGGCTTCCTTGTTTATGGCTCCGACGGGCCGTA